TATTATGGGAAATTTTTAGGTATAATACCAATGAAAGTGAGATTCAATCTAATAAGGCTTGGGAGATCTAACGAGTTAATTTAATTGATAAAATAATGATAAATGATCAAATTTTCCTTCTAGCGAGTCGATGTAGAAGAGACAAAGGAGAATCACGCGCTTGGCTTATCTTTGGGGGAGAGGTAATCACCCCGCAAGAATTCGTAACATAAACTAACGGTTCTGAAGTCCCCTTTCGAAACTCAAATTTAAAATGAAAAAGAATCTCTCAAGATTACAGAATCGCATCCCATGTTCAACTGTAATATATATATATATATATATTTCATAAAGATTATAACTATAAAAGTATGAATATAAAATATTTCAGTGAGCAGAACATTACAATGACATATGTTTAGAAATTATTAAGTTAGGCCATTTGTTTTATGTTAATATAGCATAATTATTGTATAACAAAACAAAAATTACATTATCAGAATAATATTATCCTCACTGGAGTGTTCTACCTTAGAAAAGTACAAGTAGCGCAATCTCTTACAAACTAGGGGAAGTACGTTCGCTATTATTTTTATCGGCGGACGTTACATTAGGTAATCGTTTTAATTTTTGTATGCGTGGGGTTACAGTTATATTAAAATTATTAACGTACTGGTCAGGATCTTACGTTAGACTGCTCTCCGCGAGCTGCGTCTCTGCCTCGTCCCTTCCCCGCACGGAGGGGGGGCATCGATGGACAGCCAATAGTAATCGATCACGCGGTCCCGACGGCCCAATCATATCTCACGGAAAACCGCGACGGTCTAGAAAATTCGGGAATCTTCCGCGCGCGAATTTCTCCTTTTCCCTCTCCTCTTTCTTAAGTAAACGGACGCTCGCGTTCCTGTACGAACAGGCATGATCTCGAAGAGACCTTCTTACAACGGCAGAAAATGCCTACAGTTCGGCCATTCTGACCTTTTGGACGTCCCGGCCAAACAAATTACAAGTTACAATATTTGATGAACTCTTACAACTACTAATACAAAAACAGTTTTTTAATAATTAAACGCAACAATAAACCTTAAAACTAACGCTTTTGTCATGAAAGTATACGCAGATTACAAATACTTAATGTATATAAGGTCGCATATGATCTGGTGCGATAATACCAGTATACGGTCGCTGAGTTAATTGAAATCCGTCGACGTCAACGACGACGTACCGATCATAATCAAGAACGGCTTTTACAACATAAGGTCCTTTAAATTTTGGTAACAATTTCTTGTTTATACCTGGTGTCGTTTCGACATTACGAATCTCGACATAATCGCCTACCTTATATTCACGAGCTGCTTTTCTTCGCAAATTATATCTATGTTCATTCTGAGCCTGTGCTCCTTCGATTTTCACAAACGCGCGGTCTCGGATTTCTTTCAGGTCGCAATCGTTATCTGAATCTAATACGTCACGTAACAAATCATTAACTTTTCCTCTCTGACTGACTCCGAATAACAGCTGTGATGGAGTCTCATCCGTCGCTCGACATACAGTATTGTTTAATGAATATTTTACGTCGTATATTTTCCAATATTGACGCATAAGTTGAGTTTCCAATACCTTGGCAAATATCCATCAGACCGCAAAAAAGATTCAATCCTTGGTGTCCAACGCCTAACATGCGCATCGCAAAAACTATTCGTCGATTGATTTCACACGCACTGCCGACCAGAGAGCATGACTTAATTTTTGTTTGTTTATCACACTTGCACTCGAGAAGAATATTGAAACCCAAGCCACGTAAGCTTGACTTAGAAAAAGCAACTTCACTTTTGCAATCTTTGCAGATGACACTTGCAGATAAAGCAGAAAAAACAGAAACGAATTCTATAATACAGTAACCAAAGTTGCTTGCGACAGGAACCTTCACATCGAAACGGCCTATTTTCTTCGCTGAGGCGGACGTAAATTGTGTATCCTGTTCAATTGAGTGGCGATTTCCATGAAACTTTCTTTTCTTTACTCTCGAAGGGTGTGTGTTACTTGCCTTGTTTCCTTTACTACCACCCATTTCGAAAAACTAACTCGCACTGCAAATATAGATTTCAAACGGATTCGGCACGTATTACACTCTTCAATGCCAAGGCAAAACTAAACTAACCGTTGGATTCGAAATGATATTTTTGGACAATAGTGTTCCTCTAAATATGCGTGTTTATATGTATACACGTGAGTATAACGGTCGCATGGAGTCTCATCCGTCGCTCGACATACAGTATTGTTTAATGAATATTCTACGTCGCTTAAAATCTGATCCCATTTGGAGGGAGTTTCGCTTAACTTTGCCAGCATAGGCGCTATGATTCGGTTGAAGCGCTCAACCTGACCATTAGCTCTTGGCGTACTTACGGCAACAAGAACATGTTGAATATCTCCGTCTTTCAAGAACTCTTTGAACTGATCAGACGTAAAGCACGTACCTCGGTCTGACACTAAACGTTTCGGCTTACTATACGCACGGAAATAATCATGCAAACATTTTATTAATTCATCCGTCGTAGTGGATTTACAGGGATAAACTCTAATAAATTTCGTAAACGCATCTACAATGACAAGAATGTGTCGGTTTCCTTTTCCAGTTTTCTCGAGGGGACCAAAATGATCTACATGTATTGTCATGAATGGTAATTTCTCTTTCGGGATATTGTGAAGGAACCCTTCAGCTTTACCACTCGGAGGTGAAAATTCAATACAGCGCAGGCAATTCGCAATGTGTTCCTTTACTTTTTCGCGCATTTTTGGGAACCAATAAATTCTCGAAATATTATTAACAACTTTATCAATACCAACATGTCCGATATCGTCGTGACAGGTTCGGATCACGTTAGTTTCCATTGTTCGCGGGACATAAAATAATAACTTTTGATTTTTATCTTTTCTGTAAACAAGGCCATCACGCAATTCATACTGTTTTACTTCGCCTTCTTGGAGTTTTTTCCGAATTTTAAGAATCTCATTGTCAGTATCCCGGTCTTGACAAATAGACAACGTTCGTTCAAACGTGCTCCCCTCTAGTACCAACACGCTGTGGCAACGACTCAACGCATCTACATGGATCATTCGCTTTCCTGGCCGATGTATTATCTCGTAATTATAATTTTGCAAAAATAACGCCCAACGGGAGATTCGCGGGTTTACATCTTTTTTATTCAAGGTAAGACGAAAGCTATCACAAT